AAGAAGAAGAAGAAGAAGAAGAAGAAGAAGAAGAAGAAGAAGAAGAACTAAACACAGAGATAATTAGGAGTCTGGAGGTTAAGCTCCAGATGAATGACTGAACTAAGGAGAAATGTCTCGATGGTGAGAACAATCAACCACAAAATGGCTTGCCTTCAAAAGTTGTGGATGCTCCATCACTGGAGGTTTTCAAGAAGAGGACAGCCAGTTGTCTGGAACAGTATAAGATCTGCTTGAGCCGGGGGTTGGACTAGAAGACCTCCAAGGTCCCTTCCAACTCTATGTTGAGAGAGAACCTCAATTGTCTCCTTTCCAAACCCCAAAAGTCCTTGTTTCCATTGGAACTGTGGACCCTCCTTTGAACATCTCATCGTCTTTGGCCAACAGGATCCACCAAGGAGGTCTGGAATAATCCAGAGCTGTCACTCATGCGGACCATAAAGTCCATCTTGGAGATTCAACCAAGAAGCCAATTTTTCTGGGGGGGGGGGTACTTATTACTTTGTGGGTTTTTTTGCACTTCTTGGAGAAGATTTGACAATAAGACTCAGAGGTTTGGGGAAGAGGCAGTAGATCGGTGAAGTTTCTCATTGAATGCCTGGGAGTTTTGGAAAGCAGGAAAGAGGCAGAAGACAGGATTCTGCCAGCAAAGGAGCATAGTGGGTGAATGGAATGGTTAGTATGGCTTAAATAAGAATTTAAAGAGGGCATTTTTAATTACAGATAGACCCTCAAGTTACAACAGTTCATTTTGTGACCATTCAAATTTACAACGGCCACTGAAAATAGTGACTCATGACCGTTTTTCACACTTACGACGGTTGCAACATCCCCACGGTCACGTGATCAAAATTCAGGTGCAAGGCAACTGTCTCATATTTATGACCCTCCCGGAGGTCACATGATTCCCTTTTGAGACCGTCTGAGTAGCAAAGTCAAAGGGAAGGCCAGATTCACTTAACAACCGTGTCACTAAGTTAACAACTGCAGGGATTAACTCAACAACTGTGGCAAGAAAGGTCATTAAATGGGGCAAAATTCACTTAACAAATGCCTTGCAGTCTCAAATAAATAGTTGTTCTCATCAAAGAGAATATCTACAGCTCAGGGTTGAACTCTGAGTACCTTGGTTGTTTCCTTGCAGACGTTTCACGACCCAACTAGGCAATGCCATCAGTGCTAGTGAGAGTGGCTTGCTCCCTGTTTATGTACAATAGCTCTGAGCTTCTTTTCTTGTGGACGTTTCATGACCTAACTAGGTAACGTCATCAGTGCTGGGGAATGTGGCTTCTTATTTTCAGCTCTGAGCTTGGTTGTTGGCTGGTTGACATTTCACGACCCAACTAGATAACATCATCAGTATTCATCACTTATTCATTACCATTCATTCATCTTTCAGGCAGTTTTTTTTTTTTATCCACCTAAGAAACATCGTCAGTGTTCATTCGCTCAAAGCATGCTGGCTGGGGAATTCTGGGATTTGAAGTCTATTCATCGTAAAGTTGCCAAGTTTGACAAACACTGATTCTAAGGAAGCCACAAAAGAGGAGGAACCTGAAAGCACCTTTTCAGACGAACCCAGTTCATTAAAAAGTGTCAGCTTTTGCATCGGCTACAGCTAACTTCATCCTGTGCCAATCGGAAAAAAAACCCCTAATGCTTTTCATAAAAGACGCTCATCTGAAACCTGCCCTCCGATTCCTTCAAATCTTTCCCACAAAGAAAGTCCCAGATCACAATGAACAAATGAGTTTGCAACGATGAATTCCTCCTTCCCTGACACCCAACCTACTCACCCAAGCGCAGAGTAATGTTGACAGAGGTGGGGTGCTGAACCCCAAATGCCATGGACTGACTTTGCCACCAAGTGGGCTCTTCCTGGCTGTGGAAGTCGGTCAAGTAAGAGGCGTCGTGGGACAGCAAAGGATCGTCTCCATCGCAACGGTGGCAAAGGGTGCTGGATTCCCTTGTGCCCATCTGCAAGCAGTAGGTTTCTGGAGGCCAGCCACACGTGTTGGACGCCTGTGCCTGCCGGCCGAAGGCTGCGTTCTCGAAAATGGGCATACAACGCTGGGCACGGCCTTGGGAGTTGTAGCAGACATCCATGGCTCCCCTAGCCGGGCGAAAGAAGACGACAAAAGCCAGAGAACAGAGCAGCAGCTGTGCCATGACGGGTCTGGGAAGAATCTTTGTGATGTTTCTGTTTGCACTGCTCCAGCCTCTGAATTGCTCTCTTCCTCCTCCTTCACAGAGGATGGGGAAAAACAACTTCCCAGCTGTGGGATCGCTCTCTCTCCTACTCACTTCCATCTTGTGGACAGAATCAGGAACGGCCCCGTTCGATCAAAGTCTCACTTAGGAACGAACAAGCTCCTTCAAAAAAAAGAAGGGTTTATTCTAGCGGGGGTTGGAAAAGCAGCACGCTTTTTTTTTCTCTTCTTCTTTGCACAGATCGGTTGTGGGACGCAGGCAAGGGGGGATGCACAAATTAAGCCCCACAGAAGACTTGGGGAAGTTGGCGCCCGAGGGACGTTTCTAAATGCAACAGCATGAGAAAAAGGACAAATGTGCGTTTTGTGGGATGGCTGAGGACTTGATTCTGGGTGCAGATATATCAAGTTGAGCGCTTCCTGCAGTTGCACAGCTGCAATTTGTTGGGTTGAGTGGCTTCTCCCAGCGCATTTTTTTCCCAGGGTCCATGTGAAGGGAAAGAAATGGTCCAGACATTTTCCATGTGGTCTAATCTTCCTTCTCTTCTCTTCTCTTCTCTTCTCTTCTCTTCTCTTCTCTTCTCTTCTCCTCTCCTCTCCTCTCCTCTCCTCCCCTCCCCTCCCCTCTCCTCCCCTCCCCTCTCCTCTCCTCTTCTCCTCTCCTCTCCTCTCCTCTCTTTTCTTCCTGCCTTTATTTTTACAAATAACTCAAGGTGGTAAACATATCCAACCCACCTTCTCCTATCTTTTTCAGAACAACAATCTTGTAAGGTGGGTTGAGATGAGACAGACTACCTGAAAATCCAGACACTTTTCGTACCTAAGGTGGGGTTTAGAATCACCATCTTCTGGTGATTGGCCTAAAGTCACCCAACTGACATTCTTGCCTAAAGCAGGACTAGAACTCAGAGTCTAGCCTGGCACCTTAACCATTAGACCAAACTGGTTTCTTACCCATTAATATTGGGCAAATCTGCAGAGGCACTTGCAAGATTCACTCCCCACTGTAGATGGCAGAAAGAGAACGTGTCTGTAGCTCCTAGCAATTTTTTCCTCCTCTTTGTAAGTTGAGAGTTTGTTTCCTGCAAGAAAAAGGTGAAGAACTAGAATAAATTCCCAGGAGAGTTTACAGAAAGACTAACATTTGTGAGTTTCTTTGTTGAACTCTTTTTTGTTGTTGTTCTGGTTATTTTTTTGTGCTGTGTCAGAACTGTGTGGTGAAAATCTAGAAAATCTTTAGGTGGCAGCCAAGCTTCCTAATACGTGTTCTTTGCCTCACTACTGCCACCAAATGGCCACCTGTATTTTGGCAACCAAATTACAATTGGTCATCTGAATTTACAGGTAGTCTTGGACCTATAACCATTCGTTTAATGACTGTTCCAAGTTACAGCATTGAAAAAGTGACTTATGACTGGTCCTCATGACTGAGGTGGTCATATGATTGCAATCTGGGCCATTGGCAACCAGCTCACATTTTTGATCATGTTATCACAATTGTGATCTTCCCAGCCAGCTTCTGATGAGCAGAGCAGAGCAGAGCAAAAGCAGATATCCAACTAGAAATAAGATAAATTTTCTAAAAATGAGAACAATTAACAACTGAGAATAGAATGTCCACTGTCCAATCTGGGTTATTTTTATGGGAAAAAAACGTGGGGAAGGAATATTATCCATTGCACCTTCGTCTTCCAAAATAAAGACAGGATAAAGGGCTAATAAACAAGCTAACAACTATAATTAACAGTATTTTGCACTCTGTTTCAAACATTTTGGAAGACTTGGTCCAAAGGATGAAGTATTATACATTAACCCCAATTCCTAGTGATACCCTGACATTTTATTCTCTTCTGAACTTCAAAACTCATTTTATTCATCAGTTCTGTTTGAGCTTTCAATTCCATGTTCTTTGTTAACATCTTCATCTTCTATTTGTTCGTTTTAAAACCTGCTAACACATCAAATTATTCAAGTTTTCCCATGAATGTTTCAATTCCCTTTAAAGGACCGTCCAGAATCAACAAGTCATTTGCAAAATCTATGGCTGTTTTTTTTTAAAAAAACCCTTTACTCCCACAATCTTCTTGTCTTGTCTTATATTTCTATTTAGTATTTCAAGAACTAAGATAAACAAGAAATGAGACAGTGAACATCCTTGTCGTTGTTCCTTTCTGTATCTTACAAAGTTTGGTGGTTAAATCTCCATTAATGATGTGGGATTTTTATTTTTTTTGGTGTGTTTTCTGTCAAGTCTAAATCGATCTTGCCCCATTCTGTCCAAAATTCATATCTTCCAAAACTGCGGATGTGAAATACCAATTCAAATTGTCAAAGGCCTCCTCCACCTCTAAGAAAATCAATGCAGCTTGTTTTTCATGATCTCTCTCCAAATATTCAACAATGTGTAACATATGTCTAACATTACCCTTAACTATCTTTTAGGAAGACACTACATCGATCCTGAGGAACAAATTCCTGCAAAACCATTTTCCATCTATCAGCTGGAGTGGTTGTAAACAACTTGTAGCCATCATTCAATAAATATTAGCTATTGTTTCTTCTTAACATCAAACTATTTCCCTCTTTAGCCATTAATGCTATATTGGATTCTTTATAATTCACAGACATCTTTCCTGTAAGATAGATTTCATCTTACAGGTCGTACAGCCCTGTACGATCACAATTGAGCCCAACATTTCTGTCACTAAGCAAAACAGTTGTTAAGTGAGACTTGCCCCATTTTACGACCTTCCTTGCCACAGTTGTTAACTTAGGAACATGGTTGTTAAGTGAATCCGGCTTCCCCATTGACTTTGCTTGCCAGAAGGTCTCAAAAGAAGACCACGTGACCTCCGGACCACTGCAACTGTCATAAGAACATGCCAGTTGCCAAGCCTCTGAATTTTGATCATGTGACCACAGGGGATGCTGCAACGGTTGTATGTGTGAAAACCGGTCATAAGTCAGTTTTTTCAGTACCATTGTAACTTTGAATGGTCACTAAATGAATGGTTGTGTGTGTGTGTGTATGTGTGTGTGAGAGAGAGAGGGAGACTTTTGGCTTCATGCAAGGAAAGCAGCAGAAGTCTTTCTTTCTCTCCCCCAAACTCCGCCAGAAATGAGTCTTTGCTGGCACAGCCTCTTGGAGCAGGAGGCCTTGCAGGGCCCCAAAGACTCATTTCTGGCGGAGTCTTTCTGGGAGAGAAAGAAAGACTTTTGCCGCTTTTCTTGAGTGCAGCCAAAAGCAGAAGAAGAAAGAAGTGAAAGAAGCAGCCCAGTGGCCAGGCCAGGTGCTTGGGGCGAGTGGGGCAAGTTCCCCCCCCTCCGCCCTTTCCCTCCTCCCCTCACTACCTTGTGTTGTTCACAGTGCAAGCGACGCAAGCCTTGTTTTCCTGTGGGCCATGTGGATTAATTGCTTTGGGGGGGACATTTCTCTGCGGACCACCAAAATTTTCTCGTGGACCACCAGTAGTCCCCAGTCCACCAGTTGGCGACCACTGGAGTAGAAAATCTCTGAGGTCCTTTCCAGCGCTATGATTCTAACATCTTGCCAGAGCAGACGAGAGAGAGTTCAAATGCTTAGGAATAAAATAACTTCATTCCTTTCCCCCCCCACCCAAGATCAACGTGTTATTTAAAATACCAACATTCCCTAAATGCAAGAAAACACACACCGCACTTTTAAAAAGACCTGCAAAGGTTTAGATGTTGAATCTTTGATGAGGCAAAAAGGTGTTGCGTGGAACAGCGCGTCCTTTTGTTGCTTGTGAAAACAAAGCAGCCACCTTGTTTTGCTGGTCATCGCCTCAAGGCATCTCCCAGATGTTTCAGCAGCCATAAGGAACTTCTAGGTTGTGCATAGCTGATGGACCAGAAGATACCTTGAAGGGATGAACTGAGTCATGCAAAGAGGTTGCCTTATTCAACCCTGCTCAAAATTTGATGCCAAAGTTTTCTGTCCATTTCTTTTTCTTTTCCTTTTGGTTTTTGACATATCTGCAGGGTAGAATGTTTTTTTTTTCTTCTCTTGGTTGCTTTGCAGTGGAACAGAAGTTGCCCTCGGAAGTTGTGGGAGCATCATCACTTGAGACTTTCAAGAAGAGATTGGACTGCCATTTGTCAGAAATGGTGTAGGGTCTCCTGTTGGGGCGGGGGGTTGGACTAGAAGACCTACAAGGTCCCTTCCAACTCTGATTATCTGTTATTATTATCTGGAGAGAGCATTGAAGTTGGTAGGTGGTGTTCGGCCTCCTTCCATTACTTTGGACCAGTTGCTCACCCATCACACTGGGAGGCAAATTATGATGGAGAACGAACGTCTCCCTCCAAAAATCCTGAGCGCTCCGTTGCTGGAGGTCTTCAAGAAAAGATTCAACATCCATCGGTCTGGGACTCGAAGATCTCCAAGATCTCTCCCAGCCATAAGATTCTATGATTTTCAGTCATCAGCTGGGATCAGAATAGTGGTAGAAAAAGTTCTACATTTTTCTACCAGTAAAATAAATTGGCTCATAAGTGCAATTTTTCTAAGCATTCTTAGAACGTGTCTTTCATTTTCTTTCCTGGATGTCTATTATATTCCTGCAAAAATCCCCACCGGGATTTTCATAAGAGAGGACCGTGGCTCACTTTATGCTTTCCCCGAGGGAGCCAACTTTATTTTTCCATGCAAACTTACATAAATGCCTAACTTGCCACTCCAGAATATAGAATCTTGACGGTAAAATCAAATTAGTGTTCAGAGAAAAGCTTCTGTCTAGCCTGTCTTCGGCGCTCTTTCTTCAAGTCCCTTTCTCACGGACTCGCTGTTCCTGCCTTCAGCGCCAGTTTAAGTAGATGGTGTTGGTGGTACCATGCTTTGAAGAAATGGAGGACCTCCTGCTCAAATCCAATTGTCCAAAGAAGTAAGCAAGTTGAGTCCGTTGCAACCAAGCCAACCAAAGAGAAATGTGAAGGGCC